ACAAGAGTTAAAATCAAGAATCAACAAATGGGACGTATTCAAACTAAAAAGTTTTTTCTCACCAAGAGAAATAATAAGTGAGGTAAATAGGGAGCCTACATCCTGGGAACAAATTTTTACCCCTCACACTTCAGATAGAGCTCTAATCTCTAGAGTATACAAAGAATTCAAAAAGTTAAACAACAAAAAAACAAATAACCCAGTAAACAAATGGGCCAAGGACCTGAACAGATACTTCTCAGAGGAGGATATACAATCAATCAACAAGTACACGAAAAAATGCTCACCATCTCTAGCAATCAGAGAAATGCAAATTAAAACCACTCTAAGGTACCATCTCACTCCAGTAAGAATGGCAGCCATTATGAAGTCAAACAATAACAAGTGCTGGCAAGGATGTACATTGCTGGTGGGAGATAATATTTCAAGGTAAAGCTTTAGGCTGTGACACTAGGGATTATAAAAATTAAAGAGGAACCACAGCTTGAGAAAGTTGTTATACAATCCACCTTTACTCAAAAATTTGAGATAGTCTTCTATTTCAGGGTAGAACTGGAGGAATTTTTATTTCAACTTGTATATATTCTAGTATACACTATTTTCAAGGACTTTTGTAAAGGTTTGAAATCAATTTGGAGAAACATACCCTTAAGCTGCTTTGATCTATGGAACAGTCCAAAATTAAGAATATGCATTCCTTGATTTAGTCGATAGTTTTTAGTTCCTATTGTGGGCTAATTAAGATGCTGACAAAGATGTAAACAGGAATACATGAAGTATTTTCCTTGTCTTCTAGAAGTCATTCTATGATCTTCAAGTTACTCCCTCTTGCTTCAGACCAGTTCTACCCAGAATTTTTCACTCTCAGTTAATGATCACTTTATGTTTCCTTCAAATATTCAGGTTCAAAACCCTGCAATTACCAGTGTTGACACATTTTCTCCCAAACCCCATTTCCAATTACTCAGAGATCATGTTACTCCTACTTTCAGAATATAAACAGAATCTGGTAACTTCTTATCACCTCTGCTATAGTTTGAGTTTCCTTAAATGTCCCCCAAGGGCCTCTGAATTAAAGGTTTTRTCCTCTTTTGTGTTACAGGGAGGTGGTAGAAACTTTAAGGGGTAGGACCTTATGGGAGACTTTGGGTCATGGGGATGTGCCCTTAAAGGGGATACTGAAACCTGGGTCACTCCTCTTCCTCTCTAATTTTTGCTTCCTGGCTGCCATGGGGTGAGCAGATTTCCCTGTCCTGTGCTCCTGCTGTGAGGTACTGCCTCACCATAGGTCCAAAAGCAATAGGGTAAATTGGCCATGGACTGAAACTTCCCAAACTATAAGCCAAAGTAAATCTTTCCTCTTTTAAAGGTGATTATCTCAGGTATTATGTGACAGTGTAATCTATTCTAACACTCTAGTCCAAGCCTCCTTCATTTCTCCCTTATGCTACCAAAGCAGTCTCCTTTCTGGCCCCTTTAATTTCATTCATGTCTCTTTATACATAATTCTCAACATGACATGTTTCAGCTTTGTGGTCTTTGTATTTGTTATTCTCTTGGTCCAGAATGTTCATCCCCTAGATATTTTTATAGCTTGCTCCTTTATTTCCTTTAGAGTCTTTGTTCAGATGCTATCTTTGCAGTGAGGCCTGCTCTGACTAGCCAATTTAAAATTTGATCCTTTAGCATTTTCCAGTTCCTAATTTACCTTGATTTATACCCTAAACTCTTTAAACATATTTTATAAATTACTTATTGTGCTATGTTGTCTGTCTTCCCCCCACTAGAATATAAGGTACATAAGAGCAGGGATCTCTGATTTGTTCACTGCTATATATTCAGTGCCTAGGATAGTAAATAACATATGATGACAATTGGTATATTTAAGTTTCATTAATGAATTGTGGTAGAAACATGCATTAAAGCATATCATTACAAAATCATAGGCTAAGTGTTAATAACAAAAATATGCACCAAGTACCGTTGATGTAAACTACAAAGTGAATGCCACACTCCTCCCCCCCCCCCCCAATACTGGGATTAAACCCAGGGCCCAGGACACTCTATTACTGAGCTATTGCAATATTCCAAGGCCCTTTTTGTTTTATTTTTTGAGATAGGGTCTTGCTAAGTTGCCCAGGCTAGACTTGAACTTGCAATCCTCCTCAGGCCACAGCCTCCAAACTGCTAGGATTACAGGTGTGTGTCATAGTGTGTGACACACGCTTCAACTTAGCTTCAGTTTGTTTTCTCATCAGGAATGCTTATCTTCATTGTCATACTATTCAAACCATATCAAGTCTTTTTTTTTTAAGAGAGAGAGAGAGAGAATTTTAATATTTATTTTTTAGTTTTCGGCAGACACAACATCTTTGTTGGTATGTSGTGCTGAGGATCGAACCCGGGCCGCACGCATGCCAGGCGAGCACACTACCGCTTGAGCCACATCCCCAGCCCCAAACCAAGTCTTCAGGGACCTTCCTCCACAGTGCATTTTTTTTTTTTCGGGTGTTCTCTCTTTTTCTCTCTGCTTTGAACGACTATGACACATGATTGGAAGCTCCCATGGCCCTTATTTAATACTACCTTGAACCAGAAACATTCATATTCTTATTTTCTGTCTGCCTGCTTAATTATGAACTCCTTTGAAGCAGTGATTTCATAATTTTTTATCTTTAAATCCTCCACAGAATCTGATTCAGTGCCTTGCATAAAGTTAATGTTTGCTGCAAAAATAAATTAGTAAGTTATCAATTCCACTTATTTTATTGTCCTTAAGTGCATTCGCCTGAAAAGAATCTGACAAAGCCACTTGCTTACCAAAATCTAGATTACGACTAAAGTGACTGTAAAAGTGTAAACACTCACAGTGATCGTCTAAAGAAATGGTATTTTTTGTGTAGTTCATTTCAATTTAAGATTTTCTTTAAAATGAATGTGCAAGTCTTGAGACTAGCTATCTTCCTTTCAAGAATTATAAACAAGAATTAAATTCCGTCTGCACAAAAGTAGGTATTAAGCGACTGTCATAAGTAATTTTAAAGCCCACATTTTTTTCTGTAAGCACACATCTCAAATTAAAAAGAGAGACAGTGGAAAAATAAGATTCTATTTCCAAATAAGTCCTACAAACTACTTTCCACAAATCTTCCTGAAGTACAAGAGATAATAGTTGCCTTCAACCTCCAGAAAGAGTATTTAAACAACTTATATTAACTGTAATACTTTGTGAGAATTAAGAAATATCCCCCAAGATAAAAGGAGATTATTGGGAGCATTCCACAACTAAAACAAAGATCAAATGCTGCCATAGTTTAAAGAGTTAATGTTTGGTGACTATTTAAGGCAATCGGCAAACAATGTCTACTCTTCATTGCATATATCCTCATTTTTGTTCCTTTCTGTTTTTCTTCTACCCCTTTTGCCATTATTACACAGTTTAGGCCTATTTGATTTGTGGTAAGAGTATTATTTCTAAAGAACCATAATTTCAAACAGTGGTACCAGGAATAAAACTAGTTACTTATGCCAAATTCTTACCCATTGAATTAGATCTGTCTAAACCTGGGATGACAGTCTACCAAGATGTTTATAATTCATCTCATAACCTATTATAGCAGGAGCCAACTCACCCTGTTCCAAAGGAATATTTATATTAAATACAAAGTTCCTTTCAGTTCAAATATTTGTACATGAAAAACTTAATTCTCTATTCTGTAAGAAACCATTTCTACAACTTCTTTAAAAATACTTTTAAATTTGTAGGCCTAATAAATCTGTTCTTTGTATAGTAACTAGTGTTATGGTTTAGATGTGATGCATCCCCCAAAAGCTCATGTGTGAGACAATGTAAAAAAATTTAGTGCTTGCTTCAACAGCACATATACTAAAATTGGAGCAATACAGAGAAGATTAGCATGGCCCCTGCACAAGGATGACATGCAAATTAGTGAAGCGTTCCATATTTTTTGAAAGGAGGGGAAGGCAGGGGATGTGGGGATAAGAAACATAGCAGAATGAAACAGACATTATTACTTTATGTATGTATGTGACTGTATGACCAATGTGATTCTACAATATGTATATTCAGAAAAATGAGAAATTATATCCCATCTATGTATGATATGTCAAAGTATATAAGTGCACTCTACTGTCATGTATAACTAATTAAAACAAATTTAAAAAATTTTAAAAAGAGAAAGTTTAGAGGTGAAAAGATTTGGTTATGTGAATCTTAAACTAATCAACGGGTGGTAACTATAGGCAGGTAGGGTGTGCCTAGAGGAGTGGGTATGCCTTTGGGTATGTATTTTGTCCCTGGTCTACAGTTTGTCTGCTTCCTGGTGCCAATTTCTGAGTTGCTTTCCTCCACCACACCCACCATGATGTTTTGCCTCATCTCTGTGGAGCAATGGAGCTGGCTATGGACTGAGATCTCTGAAACACTGCACCCCAAATAAACTTTTCCTCCTCTAAAATTGTTCTTGTCAGGTCTTTTGGCCACAGCAATGAAAAATCTGACTAAACCATCAAGATCATATATGAGAACCAACAACATTTGAGCAACACTTTATTGTTTTTGGCTATCATTATTCTAATTACCCAGATCAGAAAAATTTAGGCTTCAGTGAAGTAAAGGTGAAGTATCAACTGGGAAAAGAGGACTCAATGGCAAGTCTTATATTTTCACATCTTATGGTATCTCCAGAGATACTATGTTTTGTACAAAGATCCCAAAGAGATCAAACATATTAAATTGAAATCATGAAAATAAACTCAATTCCTGAAGAACCAGAAGGTGGAAAACAGAATCTAAGATTTACATGTATTGTCTATACCTAAGTCCAGCTTCCCACAGTGAGCTGCAGAAACCTAGAATAATTCTTCTAAAGATTACTTTAAGCACAAACCTGCAACACAATTAAGTAGATGCATACAATTAGGTAAGGACTTAAGGAATATTCTGAAATATAATTGCCAAAGAGCCCCCTGTTTTTTTCCTTCATAGTATTTAGTTTGTAGTGCATAATTAGATCAAGTTTCTCCCTGCTACTAGACTGTATAACTCCTCAAAACAAGTYCGGGTCTTCCTTCTTCATCTTTTTATTCCCAGCACCAAGCAAGATCACAGCCTGTGGTTACACAGAAATGAACGTAAGTAATTTTTAAAAAAAGGTGAGTTTTGACCAGGGGTCTGGAAACTTCTGCTTCCTTTTGAAGGACAATCTTCCAAATACAAACATGAGTTCTAGCATTTTCTCTTTCCAGTCCCTTAGCATTCCAGTGTCATAATTCTCTTGTGAATAATGGGGGAAGCGAGAAGTACCTCACTGGATAGGAWGTTTTAAATGAGAACGAATTGACAATGACACTGGCACATTAGTACATGCTGTGAGAATGTTCCTGACCAGTCTGGCTCCCACTATGCTGCTGTAGGGCTCTTCACCAGATTTTGGTCAATAATTCATTCATACTTTTCAAAATCATGTACCAGAGCTCACTTCTAGGTTAGGGTCGTTCAACTAAGTTTTTTTTTTTTTTCCATCCGCAGAGCAAACGCTTTGACCAGTCATTTGTCAATTACAAACATCGAAGAACCATCTACTAACCACTAATTCTGTCCTAGAACTCAAGAAGCCTGTTGAACAGGCCAAGGGTTGAAATCTAAAGCACGCACACAGGGCGGAGCAGCTCCCACCACCAGGCGCTGGGCTGAGTGCACGCGCCTGCCCCAGGGGGCGCGACGGCTCCGCCCACAGAGCCCAGGGCGCAGGCGCGGGAGCACCGGCGCGAGCGCCCAGGGAGAGGGGGAAAGTCGCGCCCTAATTGCCCCAGGGATGCGTCGCTGTGTCGAAGGCTCCTCCTTTCCTGGCCCGCGGACCGAGTTCCCCTCAAAAGGCGGTCAGAACAGCAAGAAAGGTCTCCCCAGGGGAGGACGGCCCGCGCCGGCCTGAACACAGGAAAGCTGCCCTCCCTGCCCGCCGCCCGTCGGGGCTGTACCTCGCCGTACACCTGGCTCTGCTTTCTCATGTAGACGTGAGGAAGTTCAGCGGAGGCGGCCAGGGAGCAGATGTTGCCGATAAACGGCAGCCCCCATGGCCCCGGGGGGAAACCCGCTGGCCGCCTCTGCTTCAGCAGTTGACGGATCCCCAGCGCGAAGAGCAGCAGGAAGAGWGCACTGCCAACGGCCTGGGCGCACGCCACAGCCCCTGGGGGTTCCCGCATTGGTCCTGCCAAGGCTGCGAAGCCCGCCACCGCCCTGAGAGCAAGGCGCCTCTTCCAGCCCCGCCTCACTCCCATTGGCCCGGTATCCCGAGGTCCCGCCCTAGCTCCATGGCCATTGGCTCTCTTGAGTGCAGGGCGCTTGGGCTACTGGAGTCAGTACCTCTGTTCCTGGCCCAGCTCAGAGTCCGCATTGCGACCCTTTGGATCTGGTTTGGCACTAGGTGAGCATCAACGTAGCGGGCATCGAGCCGGGGTTTCTAGGAAATAAACACCAGGACATTGAATACTGGTTAGGGCAGTTTCATTCAGGGCTAGCAGGATCCTGTCTCTTGGGAGACCAGCCTTTCTTATGGTGTCTTTTTAGGTACCAAGGCTATGTATTCAAGACCAGGAAGAGTGAATCGTTATTATCTATGCACTCTTTAGTTCAACATGAAAATATTCAGATTTTCTGTAGAGTTCGCCCATCAGTATAAAAATAAAATAGTTTTACGCTTTTCTCCTACTTTACTCATCATTTTTTTCCTGTTACAAAGCGTTTTTGTGTACGATCCTTTAAGAATTGTGATGAGTAAGCCCTGTTTATGTGATTAACTCTGGTTTACCTCTGGTTTTCCCAAGTTAGTTCCTTTTTGGTAATCAGAGGTCTCTCTCTTGTCTGCAATTACTCAGGGATTGTTCTTACTACTCAAGTTTTCTATTTCTACTACTTAGAATTAAACAACTGATTTCATATTGTTATTTCAGTTTCTATTCCTGTTTTTAATAGGGCAATTCCTTGCAACACAGGACTTGCTGGACTTAAGACTCTTCTAACAGCTGCCCCCTAGTTATGATTTAAATTTGGGTAAGGGTTTTATGTCCTCATTATCTTAAGTTGCATTCGTAAACAAATATCTATTGAATGACTACTTTGTGCTGGTGTCCTAAGCAAGGGAGACACAAAGGTGAATAGGAACAACAAAATTCCCACAAGGTATTTCCATAGGATCCATTCCTACAGAATAAGCACCTACTGCCTATTACAAATGCTTGATAGTCTCTTTAAAGATTCCCAGCAAACATCTTGGAAATCAGCTTAAGGATATGTTAGAGGCTCAAAGATTTATTTATGAAAGCAAGAAGTCTCCAGCAGCTGGGGAGACTGACGCTGGAGGATCACAAGTTCAAAGTCGGCCTCAGCAAATTAGTGAGGCTCTATCTCAGAAAAAAAAAAAAAGAAGAAAGAAAAATCAAGAAATATACATTCAATTGAGAATGCAAGTCACCTTGATAGATGCTTTGGGGGTTTTGGGTTCTTTTAATGGAAATTTGATGAAGGTTGGGTGTGGGAAGGTAAGTGGAGGTGACATCAGTCTGGTGATCACAAAACAGTTTATGTGGCCATGTGCTTCTCAAGATCCTTATGTTGATATGATTTCCATTATCTGATCAGTAAGTAGGTAACGTTTGGAAAGTACCCTAGATTATAGGTTTCATAATATTTATCTTCTTTGCTTAATATACTTATTATGTAGGCTAATTACATTATTCAAAGTAATTTTCATAAGTGGGTGGATTTCTGGTAACTTTAAGATTTACAGATTTCCTATAAATTTGGGAGTGACAGACCTGGTAGAAGAACTAATTGGCTTAGAATGAGGTTTTTAGATTCAAGTTGTATATTTAAATTTTTTCCCCTGTTTTATCCTTTCTACCTTTTATATTTCTTCTAGGCTACCTCATGAGGATGGGTTAATTTTCCTAGTAGGGGGCTTATAATAAGAGCAAATTCAGCTTTCTCTTGTATCCTCCCTTGCTATGTGACCTTTTCTGCAAACAACTGCTTTCCTTTGACTTCTTCCAAAGAGCTAACATGTGGCCCTTACTAGAAGCCAAGCAGGTGCTGGCGCCATGCTCTTGGACTTCCAGAAATGTGAGATAAATAAGGTTCTTTTCTTTATAAATTACTAAGCTTGTTAGAGCAACAGAAGTGGACTAGGATATGAACTGTCTCTCCAGGGCATATCCTGTAAGGCAGCAGTTATGTGAGAAAAACAGATTTTGAATGTTGAAATTCTAGTTATTCCTTGGTGTTCCCCCAATGACAAATGATGCATCCAGCACAGGTTTATCTTCTTGGCACATTCCATTATCCTTACCCAACTCAGGAAGGTTAAACTGAACTGTACTGGAACCTAAAGTGAAAGAAAAAAATTGATGATACTGATTCTCATTAAGAATTTGACATTTTTTTATCTCAAATACTTGCCTTAATTTTGATTTTAAAGTTTTGCATTTAAAATGTTGCCAATAATATGATTCTATACCTAGAAGACCTAAAAAAATTCCACCAGAAAACTGAATGAATTCAGCAAAGTAGCAGGATATAAAATTAATACCCATAAATCAAAGGCATTTCTGTATATCAGTGACAGATCCTCTGGAAGGAAAATGAAGAAAACTACCCCATTTACAATAGCCTCAAAAAAAAAATACTTTGGAATTAACAAAACAGGTGAAAGTCTTCTACAATGAAAACTACGGAATGCTAAAGAAAGAAATTAAAGAAGACCTTAGAAGATATAAAGATCTACCTTGTAGATAGGCAGAATTAATATTGTCAAAATGACCATACTACCAAAAGCACTATACAGACTTAATGCAATTCTGATCAAAATCCCAATGGCATTCCTCAAAGAAATAGAAAAAGCAGTCATGAAATTCATCTGGAAAAATAAGAGACTCAGAATAGCTAAAGTAATCCTTAGCAGGAATACTGAAGCAGTTGGCATCACTATACCAGACCTGAAACTATACTACAGAGCAATGGTAAAAAATACAGCATGGTATTGGCACCAAAATAGACAGTATACCAGTGGTACAGAATAGAGGACACAGAGACTAACCCACATAATTACAGTTATTTTATATTAGACAAAGGTGCCAAAAGCATACACTGGAGAAAAGATAGCATCTTCAACAAATGGTGCTAGGGAAACTGGAAATCCATATGCAACAAAATGAAATTGAACTTTTATCTCTCATCATGCACAAAACTCAACCCAAAGTGGATCAAGGACCTAGGAATTAAACCAGAGACACTGCATCTAATAGAAGAAAAAGTAGGCCCAAATCTCCATCATGTCGGATTAGGCCCCAACTTCCTTCATAAGACTCCTATAGCGTAAAAAAGAATTAAAATCAATAATCAATAAATAGGATGGATTCAAACTAAAAATCTTTTTAGCAAAAGAGAGCCTACATTTTGTAGAGAGCCTACATTTTGGGAGCAAGTTTTTACCACACACACACATTAGATAGAGCACTAATCTCTAGGATATATAAATAACTAAAAAATTTTAATCCCCAAAAAGCAAATTACCCAATCAATAAATGGGCCAGGGAACTGAACAGATACTTCTCAGAAGATGATATACAATCAATCAACAAATATATGAAAAAATGTTCATCCTCTCTAGCAATTAGAGAAATGCAATTCAAAAGTAAGATTTCATCTCATTCCAATCAGAATGGCAGCTAGTAAGAATACAAATAAGTGTTGGTGAGGATGTGGGGGAAAAGGCACACTCATACATTTTTGGTGGGACTGCAAAATGGTACAGCCAATATGGAAATCAGTATGGAGATTCCTTGGAAAAGTGGGAATGGAACCACTATTTGACCCAGCTACCCTACTCCTCAGTCTATACCCAAAGGACTTAAAAACAGCATACTACAGGGACACAGCCACATCAATGTTTATAGAAGCACTATTCACAATAGCTAAACTGTGGAACCAAACTACATGCCCTTCAGTAGATGAATGGATAAAAAAATGTGGTATATATACACAATATAATATTATTCCACATTAAAAGAGAATAAAATCATGGCATTTGCAGGTAAATGGATGGGGTTCGAGAAGATAATGCTAAGTGAAGTAAGCCAATCCCCAAAAAACAAAGGCTGAATGTTTCCTCTGATATTAGGAGGCTGAATCATAATGGGGTTGGGGGGGGCGGGGATCATGGGAGGATCAGATGAACTCTAGATAACACAAAGGGGTGTGAGGGGAAGGGGGGGTACTTAGGCATAGAAAAAAATGGTGGAATGAGATAGACATCATTACCCTAAGTACATGTATGAAGACACAAATGGTGTGTCTTCATACATGTACTTTGGGTACAACCAGAGATATGAAAAGTTGTGCTCTATAAGTGTAATATAAATTGTAAAGCATGCTACTGTCATATATAACAAATTAGAATAAAAAAAAGATTAAGAAAAAAAGTTCTCTTGGTTACCAAGTTTTTTTTGTGCCCCTTAAATTTTGCTTCCAAAGTGAACTTTACCCCACTCCTGTGAGATAGGGTATCCAAATGATGATTTTGATTACAAAGGGGTGTGGGAACTTGGTTTCTACCAAGTGCTGGGGAAACTGGAAATCCATATGCAACAAAATGAAATTGAACCTTTATCTCTCATCATGCATAAAACTCAACTCAAAGCGGATCAAGGACCTAGGAATTAAACCAGAGACACTGTATCTAATAGAAGAAGAAGTAGGCCCAAATYTCCATCATGTCAGATTAGGCCCCAACTTTTGGATTTTCTCAGCATTGTTAGGGGCCTGGCACTGATATGGAACTTGCAAACTTCAATAACTATTATCTTAGGACAAATGAAAACTAAAGGGATATTCAACCAAATGAGAATATAAGCCTTTTGGGTAGGATTTGAAGACACTTATGAAAAGTCTACCTTTAACTCTGAGTTCTCCCCACCTCATTGCCTGAAGTGCAGTCTTTAAAAAAAATAATTTATGAGTTAAACATTCCCCCAAATAATGTTTAGTTGGAAAATGCAAACCCTGTTAGTAATCTCTGGAATATAGTGATAGGAAATTACTAAAACTGTAACTATATGGAAAAAGTTTATTCAAACATTTTGAGACAAGGCAGAATGGGTGGCATGATGGTTCTTATTTATTGTTGGTGGTGGCAATAGTGATGATAATGATGGCAGTGGATGTGCGAGTTTCAAAATTTCCCTGTGTTT